CTCGCGACGACGTTTGTTACAGCACCATGCGCTCACTGTCTATGGGGCACAACGCATCGTAGTCTGTCGCTGCCGCAATTGCCGCTTATTCTCTGCATACATGAAGGCTTCCTCTTGCATCTCGGCAACGGCCTTCGGGGTCAGATCGCGTCATGCACGCCGATCAATCGTTTTCGATTCCCATGACCGGTAATGCAGTGTAGAACGTGAGAGCCTCAATTTGATCATGTCTTGCTAACGAAGCTTCGGTTTCCCCACATACCGCTTCCCAACACTCAGCTGACCATATAATAGTTGTTCCGGTATCCGCGTCAAATCCATACGGCTTACATGACCGGGTCACCTCAGGTGTCTCAGCAGTATGCAGTCCACTACATGCATTCCACTTCGACGCAACACTTCCGTGTCAGCAACTCTGTCGCACCAACCGATGCGCAGAATCCGTCGCAAACACTGTTGATCGAACCGCTCGAGATATCGCCCATCCCGCCGATACATCGTCCACATTTCACTGCCATAGAAGAACGGTCAACACCATGGATTTGTACACCATCAACTCCGTGCCAACGGTAAGCTGATGGTTGTTCCACACTCGGTACTCTAGCTTCCCGAATGCCGCCGCTGCATTCGAGACGCGGATACGAAGCTCACTGTGAAGCTTCTAGTCAGTTGACATCACACTCCCAAGGTAACAGAAGCGGAAGGTGGTTTTTAATACTTTAATTCCAGTGCTGATTCGCTGCACGATTGTAGATTGCACCTCCGGTGAAGGCTGAAAGAGACAGACAGTTTTGCTTGTGTTGATGGTGAGCCCGAATTTGGCCGCTGTCGAAGCCAGAGCACTAGTCATGTGCTGCAACTCATCCGCGCTGTGTGCAAACAACGCACAGTCGTCAGCAAACAGCAACATACGGATAGTTGTCTCACAGACTAGAGTTCTCGCACCGAAACGACGGATGTTCAGCAACCCACCATCAATACGGTGCTCCACACGAACACCGTAAGCACAAACTGCAACAAAAGCACAAGACAACATTGCATGAAGATATATATTAAACATGGCAGGAGCTAAGACACAGCCTTGCTTCACACCAGAGACAACTGCAAAGTCATCCGAGGTCTCTCCACTCAGCTGCACCCTCGCCTGCATACCACTGTGCAGACATTCAATTAAACTTACAAACTTACGCGGGCAACCAAACTTACCCAACACTAGACACAATGCCTCGCGGTTCACCGTATCAAATGCCTTGGTGAAATCAACAAAAAGCGAGTACAACGGCTGGTGTCGTTCTCTGCACTTCTGCAACTGACGACCCGCAAGCACCATATCTGTAGTACTGCGACCAGAACGGAATCCACACTGCTCTTCCGCCACGTTAGGTTCCACAACCTGACTGACGAGGCGGTTGAGCAGGATTCGGGCAATCACCTTGCCCACACAACTCAGCAAGTTGATGCCACGATAATTCGTGCAACATTGCTTTCTCCCTTTGCCCTTGTACAGTGGTAGCACAAGGGCATCCTTCAGCTCAGGAGGCACCTCCTCTTCAATCCATACGCGTTGCACCAAGCGGTGCAGCGCAGTCAACAACGCGGGTCCGCCGTGTTTCAATACTTCAGCCTGCATCCTGTATGCACCGGCTCGCTTACTGTTTCGCAGGTGAGCACGTGCTCTCTGCGTCTCATCCAGTGTCGGCGTGTCTGCCAGACTCGCCTTCACATCGTTCTGCTTAAGGCCGTTCAACGTAGGCTAGTCGGTCTCTGAACGGTTGTTTAAGAGGCAGTCAAAGTGTTTCTGCCAGTTCTGCATTATGACTGCAGTCTGTGTGCAGCCAGCACCTGCACTACCATCGATCAGCGTCCTCAGCGGCTCGGTCCATACACCACCTTCAAAGAGTCCAAGAATTCCTTTTCATGGGGGCGTTCGGCGTAACATTCCATCTGCTTCGTCTTCTCCGTCCACCATGCATTTTTAATGCGACGGAGCTCGCGAATCAATCGCCGTACATTTCTGCGAAACTAACTGTTCTTTCCCAAGTCACTGGGGTCTGCCACATATGCAGCAAATGCTGCATTCTTCACCGACACCAATGCGCCAATCGTCGCATTGTTCTCCTCAAACCAATCAGGCCACTTACAGTTTGCGCGCCTGACGGTCTCCACGGTAGCAGCTATCACCTGGTCGCGAATGTGGTGCCACAACTCGCCCACTGTGGCTGTGCATTCCACATCACACAGTCATGCAGCCATCGCCTTCTCCAGCTCATTACGTTTCTCCACAGTACCGGGGGAGAGAAGGTTAGATTTACGCCGATTCACGGCGGGAGTGCAATACATAGATTTACGAAAATATATGTACAGTTTGGTCCGCACCAACTTGTGATCAGTGCCACACTCAGCGGCACGCAATACACGTGTCATGCGCACTTCACGCATATCACGCTGACGTACGATGACATAGTCGAGCAGGTGAGCGTGACCACTCCGTGGTTGCGTCCAGGTTGCTATATCACTCACACTCAGTGCAAACCGAGTGTTCGTGATCGTCAGGCCGTGAGTGGCACACAGTGAGAGCAGCCTGTCACCGTTCGCATTCGCTGAACCAATGCCATGCGAACCGATAACATCTGCCTACACCGATGCATCACGCCCATCGCGCGCGTTGAAATCACCCAGCAGAAATAGTCGGTCGCTCCTCGGCACAGACCGTATCACGGAGGATAGCTCAGTGTAAAATTGATCACGCGTGTCATCAAGATAACACATAGTCGGACCGTACATGCTTATAAAAGTAGCAAACTTACCTCTTCCGAGTCGTAGGCGAACAGTCATCAATCGCGCGCTGATGCCCGTTGGTTCACCCACCAGCTTGCCATGGAAGCGATCGGATATTGCAAATCCGACCCCATGTTCACGTGGTGCTGAGGTGGCGTTACCCACCCAGTAGAATGTGTAGCTAGCACCTGTTTTATGCAACTTACCTTGCTCAGCGAGCCGAGTTTCACTGAACGCAGCAATATCGATGTTGTAGCGCGCCAGCTCCATCGCGAGAAGTGCAGTGCGTCACTCCGGGCGCTCGCTGGAGTTCCGGCCCAGTAGTGTGAGCACGTTCCAACACCCGATGCTGAGTGCTTTATGCGCAGGCATACGATTGCATTGGTGGGCGATCGCACGCGAGGTGGTCGTTGTGCTTCGGAGGTTTGCTTGAGGGACTCCACCCGGAGCCTTTGGCTCAATAGACTGATCCACAAGGCAGTGCGTGGTTTGCAGGTTTGCTTGAAGGACTCCGCCCGGAGCCTTTGGCTCATTAGCCTGGCCCACAAAGTAGTGGGGAGCAGATCCAGCTCGTGAATCTGATTGCAGAGACAGATTGAGATCTGCTTGACGGTCGTCACACGCAATCTTTGAGGTACTGGAACCATTCGTATTTGTTTCGCGACCGTAATTGGATACGCACCTGCGACCACGGCCAGATTCAGGTGGGTTTTGGCGAATTTGATCCAATTTGACCAGAGGCTGCCTGGCTTGAGGCGGGTAGTTGCAAACCATTGAACACCCAGAGGTGCCCTCCCACCGTCAGAGACAATGCGTGGCGGTCGTGCTCTATGCCAATCGAGTTGTGAGCTTATAACCTGTAGACCTGTTGTCTCCCATGGTTAGGTTTAACGGGAAGATGGCCATCGACCACTTCCTAACCTCCGAAGAGGATGGACTTGGATACTGGCAGGGCGCCCACACCTGACAGGAGAACGGTTCGGATCCTCAGCCAAAGCCTTCGATTAAATGTGCACCCGAAAGGCAGCGGGTCTAGCACATGGTCAGTTCACTGACTCATGTGGATTGGTGTCCTGGATTTTAGCAGGGAGAAGGGCGTAACCCAACTCCCACCCAGCGGTCGCCAGGAGGTGCCGTTCAGGACATGAGCCAATGGCACAACAGTAGCGACATTGGGTAGACCATCTGCTGGACCGCGGTGTGGATGGCAGAAGAGAGGAGTCTAAACCATGTCTTGATTAAGAGGAACGAAAGTCATTATTTCGAAGTTGACCTATGTTGGTGTTCCTCGGCTTTCTGATCGGGCTTCGATAGACGATGAACTTGTGTGGCTGGATGATCTTATTTATATGGCTCGGAGGCGACTACAGCTTGGTTTGTGAGTTTCTTTATTCCCCCCCCCCTTAGCTTCCTCGTCCAACCACGATCTCAATTCCGACGCGGTATATAGTTACTTTCTTTTTGCGGCACATTAGCGGCTGCTTGCTCTCCGGAACAGTGTCCATCTGTTTCTTGTGCCTCAGCTGCTGTGCCTGTATTTCGTCTTCTTTTTTCTTTTTTTAACGTATCGCAGAACCCTAGCTTAGGTGTTTCCCATCTCCAGCTAACCTGTATGATGATGATGATGTTTGTTTCAGGCTGCTAAACTTATGTCCATAAATTCCGCACTCCTGTAGTAATAGTCATCCTTCGGCCCCCAATTTTCTGCTTGTTAGCTTATTCGTAAGCCGGTGGCCATTGGGAGACCTACTTCCAATTCGTTTGGGACATCATCTTTGGTCCGGATAGTTTATCGCTTTGTGATCATTCGACTTTCCACATTTACACTTATCATGATTGATATTGTGCCATATGTCGGGGTCCGAGTCTAAGGCGTTGCTTAGCATGTGAAGCTTTCGCAAACACGACATTCTTATCTTCTTTTATGCTGGTTCTCACCTAGCATCCACGCTTCTCCCGCGGCTACCAAACCAACGGCACCGTGTTTGTACCTTCGTTACTGATTACTCACGTCCGGAGATGCTGACTCTTCAGTCACATGTCAGAGGGCAAATGTTATTGTCCTCATTCTCGGGGTCGACGTTTCTCACTCGCTTCCTATATTCCACTTGTCTTAGTCATTTACAGACTATATTCTGCTTTACCACAGCTAGGTACCACAATGTATATTCAGTTTTCGGCTTAGCCGCAATCTCTTCCTATCCTGCTTTCTTTATTTCCAGGCGGAAATGGCGATTGTGTTCAAGATTGCCCATCCAAAGCGGTCATCGCGTCTCCTGAGACTGTCATTCAGGTGCCTCAGAGATGGGAGCTAACAAAATTACGCACCTTCCCCATCCCTCCCATTTATGACACATTGTCTCAGTCAGCTTCTCAAAACAAACATGATAGTGGTACCGGTCTTCTCACGTGCGTCGCCATTGGTGGCCGCGCTGGCTCTCTGGTTGCCATAGGTACCGATTTGGGCCGTGTTTTCCTGATAGATCGTCATGCCAAACCAGCCTCCAGTGCTAACAGTCCTGTTTGGACCGTAAGTCTATCGTGATTTATTGAATTATCTGTGTGCGTGTTTCAAATTTTTTTATTGTGGCCAAACGATTTTGAACCACTTGCATTTGTTCAACTCCTGTTCGCATTGTCTTTATATCTTCTAGGTAAAACCCAAGTAGGGAAATGGTTGAGTTCGGAAGATAATGCATGTAAATCGGTTTTATATAAGTTTGCATTGCGCGTGCGTTTCCCTCTTGCGTCAAGTGAGAAATGCTTCTACAGGACAAACATGTAACACGCTAATCTGTATGCTAACTCTTCTGGGGCTATGAACTGATTCTATGTTGATTTCGACATTTTGAACTAATTGTGATCTTGTGTCTAAGATACGCATTCCTGTGGATCATTTTCCCCCCATTCACCTTGGTCATCTGCTCTCACACTGGCATGATCTTTGACGGAAACTTACCCATCATGCAACCGTCTATGTGCTCTATAAATTGTTGTCTGTGTTTTCACTGCCTGGTTACAACGACTCTTTAGTCGGGACGGACGAACGGTTTGCGGATTTTATCCATGCCTAAAAAATAGCGGACTGAATTCGGATTCGTACGATTCGTGAGACAATCGGAAATCATTGCTACTTGCGAGGTGACTCGAAAGACTAAAACAGACGCGCATCTACACGACTCCAAGAGAGGGACAGAGAGAACCCTTTCGCAGGAGGCACTTTTACTGACCCAACAAAAGGCGAATATACCATTGCCCAGCATCATTTAAATATCAAAAATAGTGACGTATGCAATCCTTTTTTACCTAGTACAAGTTGCATAGGCTAAACCAGGGAAAGCGAACAATAAGCAAGCGGATTGGCATGATGAAAGTGTGCCAAGTTCAGTAAGCGGAATTTGTAAAAGTAAAGTGTTGTTAATGCGGGGGGCTCGTTGATCACTAATGTATGGGTGATTTCGGCCTCCGCGATTTTGTAGGTACATGTATTCACTCTGTCGGGCTTATGAGTAGTTTCCAAGCTTTTTCCCAGATTTTGCAATCATTTTGATCTTATTGTGCCTTAGGTACGTATTTTTCTTCACTCATTGATTCATCGTGTGCATATAATCACAATTTTCGAATGAGTCTCTTTTTTCGACTGCGGCTACCAGAGGGGGATCATTCTGATCTCAATTGCTTATAAAATACCTGCATCTGTCGTTCTTCATAGATTGGCTGGCACCAGCAGAAGACAGATTCGCAAGGAACAAATCTGATGTCAAAATCGAGGACGCATTGACCACATGATTATTTTCTGTCAGTTATTGAGACGCCGCCATATTTATTGACGACCCACCGTAGTCGTGTTTCTCGATCTCCAAGGTGCCTTCGACTCGCTGGACTGCTTTGCCATTTGGGACTATCTGCTCAGGAAAGGTGTGCCCAATAAATACGTAAACATTTTCCGAACGCTGTACGCACATAGTTTGAGCAGTGAGAGTTTATGGCAAACTGTTTCCAGCGGTGCGAGACAAGCTTTCCAGCTGTCGTCTTTCCTACATTACTTCGACACTGGAAAAGTCATGGATACCTCGTTCGCTGGATTCGACCTGCAAGGTGTGGAGCTGCTTCCTGAGGACGACATCTTTACTTGGAGTATGCCAATGACAAAGCCCTTATTTGTGACCCCTCCCATATGAGCCAATCAGCACTAGCTGTCGGTCGTTTCGGACTACCATTTCCACCCTCGAAAAGCAAAATTCAAACTCCAAAATTAGCAGGGTGCCACCTATGCGGTAACCTCTGGTGGTTATAAGCTAAAAGTCGTTTAGCAACTCAGGTATCTAGACAACTATATTAGCGCCTGTAGTATAGAAGATAAGGTCACCAGCATCACCCATGCTGGTTTCCTGTCGAACAAGCAAACTGAACGAATTTGGGCCGACTGTCTGAGAGCTGCTCCAACGCCACCATTCGAGCACCAGCGCCCACATGTGTGGGCGAGAATCGCGCTGTAAACCTGCACGATCAGTTGGCTTGATTAATGAATATGCTAAGTTTCCGCCAGCGGCAGCTAATCAAGGAGAAAGGAATTGGAATCGCTCAACAACGGACGATCAAATTGCGACTGCCCGACGGCGAACTCTAAAAGGAAGAGACACTCACATCTTGACCATGTGTGATTGCAACGTACATTGTTTAGAAACCCCTACCACGAGCGGAGAACAATTTAAAGCTGATCTGCAGGAGCTTGTAACCATTGGTCCGTTTTATAATCATGTCACTTCACCCACTCGGTTCAGAACAGGTACTAGGCCACCTGTGCTTGATCTTGTGCATGTGATTGATGCGTTGATTGTAGCCTGCCCGTTAGGTCGCATTGATCATGCAGTTATTAGTTTCAACTGCATCTGCTATGCAGAATACCGAGATGCGGACCATGAGATTGCGCGAATCATAACATGCTACGACCGATTAGCCCACCTCGTCACTGCCACAACTTGATCGTTACTCGCCGAAGACCCCCCGGATGGCGCCTGGCTCGAATTCGAAAAGAAATTCAATCGGCTAGTTATGGATGCTTCAGAGACAAAACTATGCAAGCTATCTGAAACAGTTACTCAAACTCGAAAATTGCTGGCAGTACTCAACGCAGCGTGGTGAGAGCACAGATTATCCCCAACACTAATAAGCCGGGTTAACTACGTGGCCAAACGAAACCACTGCACTCCACTGCTCAGAGAGGACAAAGCCGCACATCAGCAGAACATGGCAAAAATCTTCAGCGCTAGTCACAAACTGCTGTACATGCACATCAATCGTCTACGGAAGGTGAGGCAAGGAGTTCCGCCACTCACGACGGCTGACGGCCCAACACGAACGAGTACGGAAGCAGCAAACGCGCTGCGGATGCAGTAGACGGTATTACCATCATCAGATCCTCCAGCAATTATCGCCCAGCCGCCAGGACTCACTTCCCCTTTACCACCGAAGCTGTCTTGCAGAAGCTGACCACTCTACGCAAGAACAAATCCCCGCGTGTCGATAACTTTCGCCCCGAAGCATTGTGAGCAGCAGCAAGTCAACTGGCAGAGCCATTGACTCAGTTCTTCCAGCATTGCGATGTGGAAGCTTGGAACAATAACACCCATTCACAAAGGTTGAAGCAGAACCGAGGCTTCAAACTACCGTCCAGTTTCCCTTCTCCCTATACTGTCCAAGATGATGGAATCTATCATAGCCGATGTGTTAGCGGGCTATTTGCAAAGGTCTAACATTATTATTCCTAAGCAGCACAGCTTCCGTCGAAATCGATCGTACGCAACTAATTTGCTACTAGCACGGAGTAGCTGGACGCAGTCAGCTGACGCTGGAGAGGATGTCGATGTGATCTACCTGGATTTCTCGAAGCATTCGACCATCTAGATCATCGGATACTCTTTTCCAAGCTACAGCGTTACGGGATCGGTGACCCTCTTCTAAGCTGGATCGCCAATTATCCCCTTCAGCGGCAATTGGCGGTCAGAGTTCGGAGCTCCTTCTCTGACCCCATACAAGTTGAATGTGATGTGCCTCAAGGCTCGGTGCTAGGTCTCTGATTGCTTTTGGTATTTAGCCATGACTTCACACAGGCAAGTACATCTAACTTCCTGCTGATGACGTCAAGATCTGACGCAAAGTTCGAGGCAATACTGACCAGCAACTACTTCAAGCTGGTCTAGACACGGTATTCCAGTGGTCCATCCAAAATTCACCGTAATTCAATGTGAGTAAATGCAAGGTGTTCTCCATACGACACAAGAGCAACCACTGTTACAGCCTCGGAACGCATGTTCTGCAGCGAGCTGTCACGGAACGTGATTTGGGTGTACTGGTTCAGGATGATCTGGGTTGTCCCAGACAATCCGCAGAAGCCTCCAACACTGGTAACCAACATATGGGCCTGTTACGGCAGGCGTTCGGAAATATAGATCGCTCTATTTTTCGGCAGATGCTTAGTGCGTATGTTCGTCTTCATGTCGAATATGCGATACAAGCCTGGCACCCATGGCTACAACACGGCGTTAGTGCATTGGAGCAGCCCCAACGTCGATCACCAAAGTACGAAACTTTAATGCACCATCTTCCATACGAGGAGAGGTTGGAACGATTTCGGGTATTTAGCTGACGTTACCGCCGCTTACGTGGTGACTTGATGATGGTGTACTTAATTCTGCACGATCCACACCATGTGTGCCGCTCTTTACTGCAACTCAGCAGTAATACCAACTTGAGAGGTCACTCACTAAAACTGGCAGAACATTACGGCCGCCTGGATTGCCGCAGGAACTTCTTTTCTGTCCATGGGTGTCACCCGTAGAATGCTCTTCCACAATCCGTCATTTCTACACCATCATTATCATATGTAAAAGACATTTGGATGACTTACTCACCTACAGTTTGTTACCTAGTACTACATCTCCATCCCACTCCTGAAATATACTGTGGATTTATTTGCTGTTACATGTTTGTGCTGTGAAACTACACAGCTCGCATGACTACAGCAAAACAAACGATAAGTCCCTCTTTTAAATGAAAAAACCCAGTTTCTTTATTTTTCCATTACCTTGCAAAATTACCGAACGGGACATGTAAAGCATTACTTCATTGTTCATTGAACGGAGCGTAGTTTGTCCTATAAATAATATTTTACCTTCTGACCAAATAGATTTTGATCCCAGTCTATTCTTCCTTTTTGATTCTCGGAGGAGTACATACGACAGTCACGAATCGTATAGCCAAAGCTCGAGACGCTTTTGACAATCTCCGCAACCCGTGGCGCCGGCGCGACATCACCCTCTCCCTGAATGGCAGACTGCAATGCAGCCATGCGTTCAACCCTCCTGTACGATTGCGAAGTCTTGCCCATCAGGTCAACGCAGCTAAAGTGGTTATTTTCGTTCCATCATCGTTGCTTCTGGTGCTTAGCTCATGTCTTGTGTGAGCACCGCGTGAGCAATGCATGTGTTCGTCTTTGTGTATTTTATGCACTAAGATCAAGTGAACCGCTCAGCACCTATACCACGTAACAGGCTTCGATGGCAGTGCCTTGTGCTGCGCATGCCACCACAGCGACTCCAGCGTCATGCGTCGTTTGCGCGCCTGTCGGGTGGATGGAAGGGAAGGGAGGCCAAGCGATGACTCGGTCAAGAGGAAGGAAAGCCCTCGCTTCGAAGTTGGCGCCCCTTGGTGTCTCCCCAACAGCGGGGCTTGGGTCAGAAGGACGATGAACACGTTTAGTTGGACGCACCAGTTGACATTGCGAAAAGCCGACAATCAGGCTCACCTTACGCACTGCGTATTATGATATTTAGCATTGTATTGCTTTTTTATTTGTGTATTCTGTAATTTGTGATATCTTATTTTTGTACTGCGGCGCCTTAGCGGAGGTGTCTTTCTCACTCAGCTATCACGTATTAATGACGATGTATGGTTTCACACTGGTGTCATCGAACGAAGACGAGGACAGATGCTCGATATTCGACAATCCTAGTTTTCTGCAGATTGCAGTTTGTTCACTAGTATGATGTATCTTTTTATTGTGACTTGTTCCATGGCAAAAGTGGATTAAACAGTTTTGGAGCAGTTTGTTCAAACGGAAGAATACGGACAAATACTTCAGAGGAAAATCAATACATCATATTGAGGATAGTCGTTTGATGAAGTTTTGACAGGTTTAAGAGACGTATCTACTGCACATTTCTTTTCGCCTTTACACCACTAGTGTGGTCCATGCCTTGACCCTCATCAAGGAAGACGGTTTGCGCCAGCCAGAATAATTTCATCGGTTTCTTCGTGCCAGAGCTTATCGCTGCTGTCTTAAGACGTTAAGAGTCACACTGCATTTGACCGCTGATGATCATATCTGGTGGATGAACCGATTGAATAGTGGCGAAGTTCGACGTTTAGCTTCCCATTTCTAGCTACACAGCCATATTTTGTTTCCTCTTTGGGAAGGACAAAAATGCGCCGATTTTCCATCTTCTGACAACGGGATCCACTGCTCTCACGGCATTTAGTTTACTGGCCTGACGCATTCCGCGGACAAGTTTTTCAGGAAGATGGTTCATACCGAGCCATCTGCGATGCGCCTTCACAACGGTACCTTGCATTTGAGAGTTGGCAAATGTGATCCACTCAAATAATGCATTTCCCGTCTTCAGCCGTTTGTATGATTGTTGGACTACCGATCCGCCCATCCGTAGCTTCGCGACCCAACCTGGCAAAACTTATATGGACCACGTATCCTGAGCATGTAATTCCGCGACTGCATATAAGGGCTATACATTTAAGAGGTTGTGTTCTGTTTACAAAAATCAACGCTAGCGGCGGTGTTGTAAAAGTTCAACCGACAATTTTATTGAATCCTTGGGCTACATACTGCAGCAACGCAATATAACACATGATAATCGATGCTCTTACTGCAATCGGATTGTGTATTGGCTGTTTCAGCTTTGCAGCTGTACGAATCTCGCGCCCTCATTGAGGCAATTGTCACTACGGGTTCGGCCACTATAAGCCGGAGTTGGTTATACTTAAGTGCCCACGCTTAATCGTGGAAAGGGAAAGGTATCAGCATTACGCCGGTACTCAGTACCAACGATTCTCTACCGCGCAACCACCACCGGTCGCACGTGGGCTAAGGATACTGCGACGTCCCTGCGCAGGCTCGAACCCGCGCCGTCGGATAACAAGGCAGGCTATGTGCCGGCTTTAGCTCTGGGGGGCCAGCCCTGTCCTCTACATTTTCACACTGCATGACAGTAGAGGATGAGCTGCGCTCTATCGCAGTTATATGTCAGTCACGGCGGTCTGCCGCCATCACACATGTCTCAGTAGCATAAGTTGCTAGCTTGTAAGAGTTAGGTCATAGGTTCGCATCCAGCAGGATTTGGCAGGTGCACACTACTGACGAGTCCAATAGGTCGAAATGGCCGTCTAGCGCTTTCCTGTATGTGCGGTGGCTGTGACTGACGTGGAAGTCGCTTTGGGTGACCGGTTGAGCTGTACGTGAAACGAAAGTCTTCAAGTACGACACAAATTGTGTCGACGTTTTCGTACGAAAAGCGATTAGAGTTGTATTGAGCTTGGTGACATTTTCTCGGTTTTTCACATGCTCGTGTTCATCTCAAAACACTGCCTCTGGCTCACTAAATCCGCATCGGGTTGGCGGCGCTTAGCCTTGTGTTTCGGGACATCTAATTTGTGACTTTTGGTTATTCGGGTTCCCTACCATGCCATGATACTTATACGCGAGGATCTTAATGCTTATTGCTATGTGATCTACCTTGTTATATGAAACATTGCAAGGAAACCATCCTCCATTTGGACATTATTGCTGACGAACCGGCAGATGACATACAATTGTAAAACTTTGTCCTTATTGCAGCTTGCAGGATGAAAAACGACTGTTCCTGGGACAGATGTTTCCTTCAAACAGATATTCTACTGCAGCTCAAACGACGTGTGCCCCACTAACAATCTCAAACGGTCACTACAAAGTTACACTCCTCATTTGTGGGCCGCAACATCCCGACCATACGTAGTGCGCCATATAAGCGCGTGCTGTTTTTGGTTCCAGCATACAAATAAATAAATTCCTTATTCACGACTACACAAGGCACGTTTGCACAGACATGATCGTGCTAAGAGTACGAGTAGTCGAGCAATGTACAAAAATATAATAGGATTGTCATCTCTCTCGATCCATGAGTGTATGTAGGTGTATACGTGCGTGTGTGTCCTTGTAGTTGTGTTGCTTGAGTGCATACATGTGTTCCTGCACTTTTGACTGCATATGATCGCGTCGCCTGTGTAAGAAAGGATATTTGAAGTCTGTGGATTGGACACCATTGTCCGGCTAAGCAAGAGACGGTGACTTTACTTGGTAGTGAGTCACAACCGCCACATTAAAGTGTTGTTAAACAGGCATTTGTGGCTTTTTATGAGGAGATCGCTTGCCAGGCAAAAACTCACTACGTTTTAGAACACCGCTGCCGAGCTATTTGCTGGAACGGAGTCAACACGAACTACCCAGCATGTCCCTGCAAACCTTTTTACCGAGAACGTACATTTGACTGGTACATAGTAGCATACTTTCCCGTGCCTCATTAGAACGGCTGTTAAATTCGAATCGCCCCTGCTGATCTGGACCTCAAGCCGGCTGCGACGGCGTATATTGTTTGTCAATGTTTCACCTAGTTGCCGGAAACCGGAGGTTTCCAATGTATAGCCGGAAAAATCGCATGAATAAGCTTATCGAAGGGCTGGATCGAATTGCTTCTTGCAATTTCGTTAATCGAAAATCTCTGAATCCATAGCACTAGCGGTCGGACACCTTATTTGTTGCAGCATAATCATGAATTCAATTGCACTCTTGCATTCGTTTGTTCATTTCAGACCCATGACTGCTCCATCTGAAAGTTTTAGTTTTTGTTCGCTCTTTTAGAATTTATTATTATTATTATTATTACAATTATTATTATTACTATGTTTTGCTACGCTTTCAAAGACAGCTGTGTCCACCGCACCTTCGTGCACTGCTCCTATTTGGTAAGCGGGGCAGGTGCAACTGTGTGAATGTGTACATTAAGTTCACTGATTGGATATGCCTTGAAGTGCACTACCTCCGGACGAAAATATTCTATTTGCCATAGTGTTGTTGACGCATACGGTGCTGAACTGATAGTGCCACAGTCTTCCAGATGTGGATCATGCCACTTACTCTCGTCGAACGGCACTTTTGTGAGGAGCGAAATACTCAAGTATAATGCGTAATTCCTTGTGGTTCGCAAATGATTTTCGGCCTCGTGCCCGGATTTTAAGTCTGGCGTCTCTCCAGCTGCCCATGAACGAGTAGATTATAATCCAGTAGCGGTGATTACGCAATGTGTGCTTTCGGGATTTTCATCCGATTACTAACATCTATTGTACTTAGCTCCACCAACCGAGTGAGTCACCGTACAATTTCCACGTGACTCGCTTTGAACTGGGAGCCTATTTATTTTGCGTAACCACTTTCCATATCACATCTAAAAGTCCAATTCACTTGTTATTAAAACTTTCGTATAACAGGGTCTTTACTTTACCACTCTCCTATACTTTGGTCTTTTCGTGTCCCAGCCATTCATTTTCTATCCGAATGTCAGCGTTGGATCATCTGCAGGAGTTTGCAGCCTTTCGCTCACCACTTCGTCTGATGCCCCCGCAACAATTTCATCTCCTTTGTTGGCTACTGTTTGTGGCCAACCGAGTTGGAGCCGCTTGTCAGTATGGCGTACTGACTGCGTCCATGGCGATGAAGCTTGTTCCTGCGCCGATCTAACATCTCGGCATTTACCCATCCCTCCCGATCGCCATTCTGGATGTTCTCTCGAACCGGACGGTAGGCTGAGCGATTTCTCATCAAAAATCTGTTCCAGTTGTCGTGCCCGACTGTTCCCATATGCTATGGCTTCTTGTTCTGGCTCCATCCGTTGCTCGGCATCTCGTTCTGCAAGCCTAGACTTAAAGGTAACAATTTTATTCTTCCTCCGCTGTAAGCAGTTTAGACAGAGCTCTCTACCAACATCATAGATTTCCATCAACTGAGCACTGAGTTTATTATTTTCCACACTTATCATATCACTTGCAATTATTTACTACAGTCTGCATCGTCGAACGAACTAACATTATCCCGAACCTACTACCATATGTATGCAGTCATCAATACTTGTGCATTAACTAGACCCTTCCGATTCGACGTGCAACACTTGAAAACGTACTAGCGTTGTCTTAAGTCACTTTGGACTCCGCCAAATTTCCGTATGGAAATATGGTAGTATCTTCATAACGATCGATTCTGCGCTGTATATGGGCATTTAAAACCTCACTGCCCTGTCACTTGTCCCTCCATCCTGAACGTCGAAACTTGACCTTTTTCTGTTTCTTAAGAGCGCTTATTCTCACTTTCTTTCGTTTCACCTCACTTTCCTCCATCGGGTACGTGCATAGAATCTCGTCACTCATTAGTGTTCTTGGTCTGATCTCGTCGCCGAAATTCACCCTTAAAATGAGTTTTTGGTACTTTGTCGATATCAGCAAACGTTCACGGGTTTATTCTCCGCTAGGTTTAGTGATATCTTGTCCATTATTGTAGAATGAGTATTTACTACTCGAACTTCGTTATTTGTGCCTTTCGTTAACAAGAATGTTGTGTCGAGCTACTTGAGTAAACGGACTGTCAGGGGGAAGAACCAAGCCGGAGTCTTAATGACCAAAGTCGTGAGTCAAACTGCTCTAGTTGCAGCTCGATTGATAGTTGACCTCAGACCAACACTAGTCTGCTAATCGATGCGTTTTCTATCTTTTTCGATTAGATATTTAGTCGCAACTTGTTCTGATCTTCAGAGCGGATGCTTGTTTTGTCCACGGGTCGCGAACTTCGTTGATCTGCGCTCGAGAAAACGCAACTTCCTAGCAAGAATGAAGTGTTTATGACCAGGCATTTCAACATCAATAATTCATTATGGGTCTCATCTACATTAAGTTTTACCACCAATGACCCAGTTGAATTTCTTCCAGTCTGCAGTCTGCGTTCCCGAGACACGACTTCCACTTGGTGGACTTCTCGAATTGGACTATGCCTACAATAGTGCTGTAATATGTGCAAGTTTACAAATCTATGACGCGGCGTTTGACAGATTGGCACCGGTTGTAGATCGTTTTGGAGTAAGTATTTCACCTTCAAATTACAAAACTTTACTTCATAATTGGCTGATATCACCTCCTGGGCTGATCCTTGGTGGGGATCCGCTAAAAGTTGTTGGCGTATTCAACTACGTGCGTGACCATACCAGCACCCATTTCATATAAGATCAGCTCACGAACCGGATAACAAAAGCTCAAAGCGCTTTTGCTCATCTCCTCCACTTATGGTGCCGTCGCGACATTGCTCTCGCCCTCGATTGTACGATGTAATTGTCCGTTCAACCCTACTACCCTTGTTGTGAAAACTGGCGCATCAAGTGAAAAGAGGAGAGTTTCGTTCGCCTGCCTCTGTTTTTGTAGTTCGGTTCACATCTGGGGATTGAGCGTGTTCGGCATCTTGTTTCTATGCGGTCAAAGTAGCCGAACTGCTCAGGCACTAGGCTCCGATGGCTTGTCCAGGTGTTGCTCATGACAGCACACCTACTCCCGCGACGTGCGTTGTTTGCGGGACCGTCATCTGGAGGCCAACCGATGATTTGGTCAAGATGAATGCAGTCCCTTGATTGAAGCCTCTCGGTTCCTTGTTTGTGTCCCACAAACTGTGTTGGTACCTGAAATCTGGGGTGAAGGGAATTGTCGCACTAACGACGGACCGGGGCCCAATCAGACGGAAGCCGACCACGCACGACTGCTCCGCCTCAGCACACAAGAGGAACAGCGTGATTTGCGGCATCTAAGAAGCGGATTGATCAGCCGTATGGTGAGTGCGCGGCTCACGCCGGTGTCCAGTTTAACCGCTGTGTCAGCTAGCCAGCCGAGGAAGTATCAACCCAATAGACCAATGGCCAACCAGACGCCATCATACACTCTTTCGGCGATGACAACAACGCGGCTCGAGGTAACCTTAGGTTCACTAAACATTAATCCGTTCAACTGAAGAGCGAGCACGAACCAACACATGAAATGATGGATTCATCACTCTCTGCTCACGTCTCGCTCTATGAACTCTCTCTTTGACCGGGGTGCTGTCGACCGGGCATGCTAAACCACACTCTACCTCACCGCAAACCACGTTCTACGTTCCACGTTTATTCGGCCCTCCTGTTCTTCCTAACCCCCTTCAGTTTCGAGTCTCCAAAAGTTCATTGCAAATAAAAACGGTACCTTTGGCCTCCTCAATGAACCGCTCAAAACCGATCGCACACATTCCAATACCAACAGCAAAGCTTTTAGTGTACCCCGCTCACTCTTCAAGCTATGTACGTTCAATGTTCGATCCCTCATGCAGATTGGTTCACAAGCTGCTCTTGCGCGAACCTTGGAAACCCTCTCAATCGACGTTTGCTGTCTAACCGAAACCCGTTTACAAGACTCCAGCACAACACTGCGATTGCTCTCACCATCCCCAACTTCCAATTGCACATTCACCTTGCGCTTATCTGGAGATGGGACAGCGGCAGCCTCTGGTTACGCCGGCGTTGGAGTTGCGTTAAGCGCCCGTACAGAGGCAGCGCTCATTGACTGGTTCCTGCTCAACAGTCGTCTTTGTGCAGTTTGCTTGGAAAGCTCGGTGCGATCTTCCAGCCGCAGAACCAGTAGGCGCTGCTTATTCATTGTGGCGGACTACACTCCAACGGACTGCAGCCCAGACGAAGCTAAGGACGAGTTCTACCGCCACCTCACCAACCTCCGCAAGAAACGCCGCACGGACATCGTGATACTCACTGGTGACCTAAATGCGCAGGTCGGTAGACTAGAGATTCATGAGCGCGAACTTGGGGGTCAACACAGCCACGGTACTCACAGGACGGATAACGGCGATCGACTCCAACAACTGTGCGCCGACCACAGCCTGTTCATCTCCAGCACCAATTTCCGACGTTCCTGGCGCCAACGAGCCACCTGGCGACCTCCGGTGCCTGCTCATTCTTGGACGCAAATTGACCACATCGCTGTTAGTTACCGTTGGCAAGGCTGCATAACGGACTGCAAGTCAATATGTCTTCCGATCATGCGCTTGTGTGTGTTAAGTTCGTTCTGCGCTTTGGAGGCACCCAACAGCGTCGCCGGAAACGCTTTGAAACAGACAAACTCGCCGCTCCAAATGTTACCGGCGCATTTCACAATACATTAGCCTCCAACCTACGTTCTCTATCCTCCGATGTTGAGACACACTGGGCACAGATCCAGAGCGCCTTACGAAAGTCCGCTACCCTGGTCTGTGGCTTCACTAGAGGAGCTGTTAGTCATTGGATCTCCGCACAGTCTCTCCAATTAATGGAAAGTCGTCGAACGACTCCCGCCGGAGTTTAGTACAACGCACTACGCAGAATCACAGGTACCGAGGTCAGACAGATTCTCAGGAAGGATCGCGAAGTTTGGTGGACACAGCACGTCGTTGAGATGGAGCGGGCAGCCTCATCAGGAAACCTGCAAACTCTTCCAACTTACTCGCTTCACGGGAGGCAGAAGACCAACAGTGAGTGAGGTTTTGCTTGAAAATAACGGTGAACTAATTCACAGTCGTCACCGTCGTCTGGTACGATGTGCAGAGCACTTTGAAGATCAATTCAACTGGCCAGCAGCGCAACCGAGTCTATCTTCTGGGGTTCACAGTGCTCCCTGGTGCGTGGATGTTTCTCCACCGACAGAGGCTGAGGTTTCTAGTGAGCTTCGCTTACTAAAGCGCCACAAATCACCTGGTCCAGATGAACTTCCTCCTGTCCTCTTCAAATATGGAGGTCCTGCTCTCACTCGCGAACTGACACCTCTATTCCATCAGATTTGGACAACTGAAACCGTTCCATGTGACTGGAATCTAGCAGATTTTGTACCTGTTTACAAAAATGGAGACCGGACCATTTGCTCCAATCATCGTGGCACCAGTCTCATTTGTGTTGCATCCAAATTGCTCGCTGCCCTACTCTTACGGAGGCTTAGTTGCGTACGGGAACAACACCTGCGTGAACAACAAGCTAGATTTCACCCGGGTCGCGGTTGCGTCGATCACATCTTTACGATCCGCCAGATACTTGAACATCGCGATACGTTTAGTCGACCAAGCATAGTCATATTCTTGGATATTCTAGCGGCTTTTGACTCTGTTGACAGCGTGGCTCTTTGGGACTGCTTACTGAATCATGGAGTACCTGAGAAGTACATCATTCATTCTCTGCTATTTACCATCAAACTTCAAGCCGCGTGCGAGCATACGGAGAAATTTCGCCCCCTTTCATTATCACTAGCGGTGTTAGACAAGGTTGCCCAGCCTCTCCATTCTTGTTCAACTTCGCCATGGACGAGATATTGGATACTGCCCTGGATAATTCTGAGTCCTGCGGTCTTGAACTGCTCCCTGGTAACCGCCTTCGGGACTTAGAGTACGCCGATGTCATTGCTGTCATTTGCGAGTCCTCCCAAGCCGCCCAGCATGTGCTGCTCAAACTGGAGATGTCCGCCGCCCAATTTGGGTTGAGCTTTGTTCCTTCCAAATGTAAGGTCCTATTACAAGACTGACCAAGCGCATGCCCTTCTTTCACCCTTTCGGGGCATCGGTTGGAAGTGGTCGACAAATTCATTTATCTTGGGAGTTGTATTACTATTGGCGGTTTGACAGATGGGATCTCCCTGCGTGTCTCCAAGGCTAGAGTCGCTTTCACTAACCTTTCTCACCTGTGGCTTTGTCGTGATCTCAACCTCGCTCTCACGGGACGAGTCTATAATGCTACGGTACGAGCGATTCTGCTGTACGGCTATGAGACTTGGCCCGTTCGCAAAAGCGATGTTCAGCGGCTATCTGTCTTCGATCACCGCTGCCCGCGAAG